AGACCCAGGATAAGGTGATGGCCATTTGATCAGATGATAAAACACTTCTTTCCTGAAAGGGTTGGGAATCTTTGGAATTCTCTATCCTGAAGTGTTGTGGGATGCTCCATCACTGTGTAAAACTAAGGCTGCAATGGACTAATTTTTGGTCACTCAGGTATACTGGGAGTGGTGGACAGGTAGAGTTGAGGTAGAAGATCAGCCATGGTCGATCTGAATGGCAGAGTAGGCTCGAGAAGCATATGGTCTATTCCTCCTCCTTTTCATGATCTTACCATTGCCTTCTCTACACATGTGCTCCCACAAAACTGTGGAGTTTTCTTGTGGCAATGTTTAGGCAGCTCATGTGAGGAATTTTTCTGAATAGTCACACCTCTAAGATCAATTAGGGATTGAACTTAGCTGATAGTGGTTGTAGCTTGGGGGCTGTTTGTAAATTCCAGTTCGCTGACCAGATTCCCATTATTGAGAAAAACCAACATGGTAAAGTATCTATGAATGGCAGAAGAATTTGAATACCTAAAATTCTGCACACTGTGAGGGCTGCAAGTGACTTTTGGGTACAAAGCCTTACTTACCAGAGTTTACCACATCCATTATTCACTGTAGATAGAAATATAGAAATACTTATAAGCTATTGCATCCTCAAATAAAAATAAAAACTGTCTAGTTTATCAACCTTCCAGCGCTCAGTCTGCAGACTTGAATGTCTTTTTGAAACATGATGGTTTCTGTCTCCATCACCCTTTCAAGCAGAACTGTTTAGCAGGACCCTACCATCCTCTGGCTGAAAAGAAGACTCAAAGGTACATTCAATGTTTTCCACCAATTACAGCAAGGTAGCCACCTTGCAGTGATTAGCACTGCTGCCTCACAGTGCCAGGTACCTGGCTTCAATTCCACCCTTGGGCAACTGTCTGTGTGGAGTGTGTTCTCTTTGTGTCTGTGTTGGTTTCCTCCCTCAGTCCAAAGAAGTGCAGCTTAGGTGGATTGGCCATGCTAAATTGCCCACAGTGTCTGGGTATGTACAGGTTAGGTGGATTGGCCATGGGAAATGCAAGGTTACAGGGTTAGGGTAGGGAATGTGGATCTGGGAGTTATGGTTTTTCAGAGAGTCATTGTGGACTTGATAGGATGAATGGCCTGCTTACATTCTGCACTCCTTCTACAGCCCCCCTAACCAACCAGCCTCTTAGATAAAGGATCCTTCCTATCAACTCTATCCAGATCTCAGGATTTTATAGACCACATTTCAGTGTCTCGTCAGCCTCCTCTGTTCCAAAGAAAATAACCACAGCTCATTTGACCTTTCCTCATTGCTGAAATTCTCCAGTCCTGGCAACATCTTTGTCTATCGCTTCCTAAAGTCCCTTCCAAACAGCACGGTGGGTGCACCCATCTCCCATTGGATGCAGCAGTTTAAGAAGGCAGCTCATCACCCCCCCACACTCTCAAGGTCTAGTAAGAGTGGTCAATAAATGCTGGCCCAGCTAGCAACACCCACATCCCACTGATCGGAAAAAATAAAACTAAAATCTCTGAATTGTGGTTACAGCCTCTCTATAACGTGTTGAATTGCATGCAAAATACTGGAGTTGTTGTCTGACTAGTGTTCTGTACATGAGCTCCCTGCTCTGATGTTGCAATAAGAAAAATTACCACGTATGAATAATTTTTTTTCCCCATCAAACTGTTCAACATTGCTGTTACACACCTTTGGAGCAGGTGGTATTTGAGCTCTCCTGTCCCAGGCATAGGGACAATATCAGTGTACCACAAGAACCCTAGATTCTTAGCCCCTTATCTTCCTGGTCACGGATCAATTGGCACACATCAAGAACAGAAGATACTTCTCAGAATTCTGCCCCATTTTGTGTATTTTCTGTTCTGGATTTGCCTTTCCCAAAACTCATCACTTCACAATTTGCTGGTTGAAATTACATTTGTTAATTTTCTGCACTCTGACTAGTTTGCTGTTACCTTCCTGCAAACTCCAGTGTTTTTCCAGCCAATCAACCACAACACCCATTTGACATCTTCCTCAAACTTCTAAATCATGCCAAATGCACCCCCCACATCACCTCACCTCCTCAGCTCATCTGCCATGTTGGACTGAAGTACACGTATCACTTGTCACTGAACAACACCATTACTGTCTATTTACCATTACTGACTTTTAATCTTTATTTTCTCAGCCGTTTCTACTCACTGCCTTCAGTTTTCCTTCTCTTTAGTTCACCTTCCCGCTGCCAGACCAGTTAGATCGATTTAGTGTATCATCCCAGATTGGGATGGTTTGCTTTCACTGTTATTTTGGAAATGGCTAGATCAGTCACCTCTCTGCGTTAGGAGAGAGAGAGAGAGAGAGAAAAGCTAAAAGGGAGTGTGATGGTACAGCAAGAACATAAAACACTAAATCGGCCTTACTTGGTCTGCGACCCGGGACAATCGGGGGTCTCCTTCGGGGAGTCGTTAGTGTCCTCCTCCCACGTGGCGGTCGTACAGGAGATGCCCTTGCAGGCGACCGCCTCCGTCGTGGTGACCGTGCAGGGGATGCTCTCAATGGTGATCTCCTCCTTGGTGTTTGTCCCCTCCGTCTGGCAGCTCCATGTGGTCTCCCGGTCATTGCTGCTGGGATTTAAAAAGTTTAAGAAACTAAGCTAATGGCTGGGGAGAGGAAAAGACAAACTGCATTCAATGTAGGGCCTTATCCCCAGGATCTTACTTTCACAGATGTACTTGGAAGAAATGAATTGCATTTCTGTAGCACCTTCCATAACCCAGCATATTCCTATTCCCTTTACAATCAAATACATATGTTGTGAAGTGCAGTCACTACTGCAAGGTAAGATGCCCATTTAGGAAGCAACAAACAGCGATGAAATAAGTCCCTGGTTTTTAGTCATGTCAACCAGTAGCACCAGGAAAATAAAAAATCCAAATGAACTGTGGATGCTGTAAACCAGGAACAAAAACAGAAGTTGCTGGAAAAGCTCAGCAGGTCTGGCAGCATCTGTGAAGAAAAATCAGAGTTAACATTTCAGGTCCAGTGGCCCTTCCTCAGTTCTGATTTTGCACTATGAAAATATCTGTTCTTCTTCAAAATAGTGCCATGGAATCTTTTATGTCCACCAGAGAGGACAGATAGTATAATACCATCTCAAAATGGATCATACTAGTCAATGGACCATTACTGGTCAAGATGGCGGCAGGATAAGTTACTCCATTCGGAGCTCCTTTGCTTGCCAGTTCCCTTTCCTTCTCCTTTCTTTTTCTCCGCCCGCTCTGCGGTATTTATTTTTTCCCCAACACCACACCCCCATCCAACTTTTAACTTTATCCCTACCTGAGAAAAGGAGTTGGGTCAACACTGGAGACTGGCAGGAGCTAAATGCGCAGGCCGTGTACTGCAGTGGCAATGGATACAGCAAGGGCCGGAGCGACGGCAGCAGATTGAGCACGGGCCGGACGATCGAGCGCGGGGCCGGATCTGGCGGTGGATCGACCAGTTCTTCTGGGGCGATCGATGATCGATTTGGCGGCAAGATTAGGCCTTTCTCCCCTCCTGGGGAGAGCAGCAGCAGCGGCGGCAGGGCTCCTCTGAGTGGGGCTTGTGGGCCGGCCTAGACTCGAGGCTATAGCTGGGCCCAGGTGTCTGCACCATGATTGAGCATTCCAGGCACATTTATGGAGATGGGACTTTGGCTTTTGAGACCTGGACTTTTTGTTTTCCTTTACCCTTTGACTCTGTTAAATCTTTAATTCTGGTTCTGTAGCCAAGATGGCACCAGGAAATGGCGACTATGGAATACTTATATATTCCTATACTTAGTACACGTGACAATAAAATCTAAAAAAATCTAAGTCTACTACCCTGCTAGCAGCACTTTGTACCATTCCTTCTGCTGCATACCTGTTAACCCCTGGATTGGGACCCTCCCCATATTAAAGAATCTCTTTACCAAACGCAAGTGACATTTGACAACTTGCATTGATACATTGCCTTCAAACATACCAGTGGTTCTCAATTAACAAGTGAATTGGGCCACATAAAGTGATAGACGGACAAACCTTTGGTCAAAGAGGTTCAGAAGGACTGTCACTTGACATGAAATATTAACTGTTCTCTCTCCACAGATTCTGCTGAGTTTCTCCAGAAATTTCAGTTTCGGTCTTTGGTCAGTGGAGACTGTTTTAAGGGAAGAAAGACCAAGACAAAAGATGTTTAGGGAGATTTTCCAGAGCTGATGGACTGGAAGGGCAAAGCTAAGATTGCACGGAGACAAACTTCGCAGGCAAATCTGATCTGTAGTCACCTCACAGCTCTTGAATCGAGGTTTAAGGCCAGGAACCAAAGTCAGGCTGGTATAGCTATGGGGATGCTACAGCAATGGAATTTTAAAACGTGATGCGTGCTGCCTTGCAAACTTTTGCACTGTGAATTTCTTTTTTAAAGCATATGTTTCATCCTCGGTTCATTCCTGTCCCTAGACCCCAGTCTGACAGCTCCCGGACACCACCACGGCTCTGGGACCATTGTTGAACCTACTCACCTGTGACACCCTCTATCCCCACCACCCCACCTGGGCTCACCTGTGGAGCCCCTCTCCCTCCCTCACATGCCGCGCCTGCGCCCCACTCTCTCACTCACCTGCCAAACTATGCGCGAGCTGGGGCCAGATTCAAAAAATGCGGGTCGCGCCGTCGCCGGGGCAACCGAGGGGCCGACGGTTGGAAGGCGGGGCCTGACCCCACGGCGAAGAGGCGGTGCCACTACTCGCCACGCCCCTCTAGCCAGCCACCGCCAACCACCTACACCGGTAGTCGGAATAGGTTCCGCCTTCGGATGGTGGACCCGCTGGTGATTTGCAAACTCTGTGGGGGGTTTGGATATCCGCGCTCGTTGCGGCAGCCCATTGGACTAGGCCCCCACATCGAATGATAGACAGCCACGCTCACCAATAATGACACGGGGTGTCCTTTCTGATTGACAGGTCCGGCATTACGTCGTGGTGAGGACGATGGGTTGAGTCAGTAATGAACGGTTGGCCAGTGGGAGCGAAGAACGTGTAGATACAGGGACCAAAGGTATAAATATGTCACTGATTGGCCTTATTGTAAATCGGAGCAACTTTAAATGTTGATGGACTTGTGGTTTTGATGGGTCACATTGATGACTTAAAGAGAGATGTATATTCGTATAGCATCTTCCACGTCCTCAGCAGATTCCAGTACAATTCGCATTTAGATAGAGTCTTTCTTCCATGTTGAGCAGCTAGATCCGATACTTGTTTCCTTTATGAAGGATGTAAACCCGAAACGTCGACTTTCCTGCTCCGTTCCTCCAGCTCCACACTGTGTTAACCATCCACCCATTTTTAGGGAATCCGTAGTGTTGAGATTTTTCAGTGCCCGTCCTCCCCCACGACCACTCTCTCCTTCTCCTAGGCATAGCTCTGGACTTCTACCACCTTTTAAATCTTACTAAAAATCCACAGCTGTGGTTACTATCCACCTCCCAATCTCTCCAACCCATAGCCAGCATAGACGCATCGGGCTGAAGGGCCCTTGCTGTGACTTCTGTAATTCTCCATAGCCATTGGTGGTCATTCCTTCCTTCCACCCTTTGGTTTCTGATTATCCTGCCTGCTTCAAATGTTTTCAATGTTGAAATGAATCTCAAATTCAACTTCTTGCCAAACAAACAGTTGAGCAGCAACTATATTCTTGCAGTGGCAGAGAGATGGAGATGGTGGTCAATGACAGACTATGCCAAGAGGATTCGTTGTTGAAGGTTTAAGGTAGAAATAGTGTCAGGGCTTTGACGTGCTGCAGTGGGAAGGAGAGTGGAGTTATTTCTTTGTATGGAACTTGAATGTTATTCAGAAGAGATAAGATGCCAATGCTTTTCAACTTTCAGTTAGAGTTGGAGCTGTACAGCATGGAAACAGACCCTTCAGTCCAACTCCAATTACCCATCCAGATGTCTTTAAATGTTGTAATTGCACTAGCCTCCACCACTTCCTCTGGCAGTTCATTCCATATACCCACCACCCTCTATGTGAAAAATTACCCCTTAGCTCCCTTTCCGCTCTCACCTTAAAACTTTGCCATCTAGACTGGACTCCCCCCAACCCTCATGATTTTATAAACCTCTATAAGCTCACCTCTCGGCCTTGGATGCTCCAGGAAAAGTAGCCCCAGCCTACTCAGCGTCTTCCCTATAGCTCAAACCCTCCAATCCTGGCAACATCCTTGTAAATCTTTTCTGAACTCTTTCAAGTTTCACAACATCCTTTCTATAGCAGGGAGACCAGAATTACATGTAATATTCCAAACGTGGCCTAACTAATGTCCTTTACAACTGCAACATGACCTCCCAACTCCTATACTCAATGCACTGATCAATAAAGGCAAACGTACCAAATGCCTTTTTCGCGATCCTGCCTACATTGGACTCCACTTTCAAGGAACTATGAACCTGCACTCCAAAGTCTCTTTGTTCAGTAACACTCCCCAGGACATTATCATTAAGTGTATAAGATCTTATCAGGACAAACATGATTGGCAAAAGTCAAATGATCTCAATAAATTTATTCTCCAGGAGAAAGTGGTAGTGATCAGTTGACAAGTCAGCTGTTTGGCTGAGGCATTACCAGGAAGAAAGCAACTGGGAATGATAGGTTCTTGAAGCTCTTAATAATTCAAACAGGGCACAAATCTTGCATATATTCTATTTGTTTGCAGAGTGTGTCTCTGTAGCTGATCAAACATATTCCTTTTGTTGCTCTTAATAGGCAGAGTTCAGACAATAATCAACCAGCTTGTGGTTGCACAACCCATTTTAAAACAAAAAGTGCTGTGTGAAATGATTCTGCAATTGGGCAGCAATTGCTGAACAATTGCTGAACAATTCCAAGTGCACCAATGGCTACGTAAACAGCCAATTTAAATTAAATTGTCCAACTTGTAGCATATCTCATTTATGACTTCTAGATGTGACACACACATGCATATGAAACAACGCATCCTAAATGGTAAAATCCACAACAATTAACAGTGGGAGAGTACAAACGTTGTCAACACACAGTTGGCAGTGTAGAAATGGCAGTTGAATTTTCCAGCTTGTTTAGCAGCTAGGACAAAGACAATTCAGAGATTAAAGCTTGCTCTTGTGGTACCTGCTGCCTTGGGACAGAGTTTATGTTTGAATCTTGGTTATAGGAGCCAATTACCTCAGATGGGTGGATCCACAATATGGCAGTATAACTCGGACCCCAGCATAGATCATTGAGGGAGCTGTAGTAAGGTAGGAGGGAAATTTGGAATATTATATCTACTCCGCTCCGGATAATACTGCATTTTAACTGTGTTGGTGAGGTGAGGTGAGGTGAGGTTTAATGCATTTGACAGTTGGGTACTCAGCTGTTATCATGTTGAATGACAAAGCAGGCTCAACGAGCCGACCAGCCGACCAGATTTCTCTGTTTAGATCAGGTAACAAGTAGCCTACCCCTGCTTCTTTTGTACCCACGTTCACAGTTAAATCAGACGGCAAATTGTGCAACTGTGATTTATTGTAAGATTTTAATTCTCTGCGTAATTCAATAACAATTAGAATTAATGGAGCAACATGCTGCATATGCTTTGTTGCGGTATATGTTATTTTAAGAAGCATAAAGAAGATTTATACTGGCTGGGGATCTCCTTGCTGGGACAGATGGCTCCTGAACAACATTCTTTACACTCAGACTCTTCCTCCGGAAGGAGCTGTTCTTGGAGAAATACCTCACTGGCATTTTCCTTGCCACCTTTGTAGGCGAGCGTCTTTCTGGCAGCCTCTTCTCTACCTTCATGAGTGGCAGCCTTCTTTCTGATTTCAGTAGCAGTGGCTTACTGGGTAAGCGCCTCACTGGCAGCCCCCTTATTCGTAGCAGGGGCTTCATAACCGAACCTCTGAGAGGTAACCGCCACAGTGGGAATGATAACTTCACTGGTAGTTGCCTAAGTGATAACCTTCTGTGTATCTTTGGCTTCTGCCTTTTTTGTTTCATCGTTTCAGCCTCTGAAAAGAAGCACAAAGAGCATAAATTTATTAATAATAGCCTGCATTGGCGTCCTCACTTGTCTTGTGTACCTTGGAGCACTTCACTGTGAGGAAGGGTCACTGGACCTGGAATGTTAACTCTGATTTCTCTTACAGATGCTGCCAGAACTTTTCCAGTACCTTCTGTTTTTGTTTGAGAATATGACCAGGTTGTGTCTGACTGGCTAGCACTCCTGGCCTCTGAGTTAGAAGGGTTGAGGTGCCATTCCAGAACCTTGATGCCACAATCTAGGCTGTTGTTCAACAACAAAGTATGAGCCACCACCATCACCAACCCCACCACCACCACCACCACCCCCCAGCCTCCCCACAGCACATGCAAGATACTTCACAGGCACATGACAACATTAAGTATGATACTGAACTATGAGAAGAAATTCGGCCAACAAAGTAGATTTTACAGAGAATCATTGATTAGAGGACTGAGGAACATGGGACATTCAGCCCTTTGAGCCTGCTCCATCATTCTAGATCATGGTTAACCATCATTCCTCAATGCCATATTCCCATGCCATCCCTAATGCCTTGATGTCATGGCTAACTAGAAATCTTGCAAACTCTGTGCTGATCTTGTTTAATGTTTGAGCTTCCACAGCCCTCTAGGGAAGAGAATTCCAAAGATTATTGCACCCTTTGAGTGAAGAAGTTCCTTTTCATCTCAGTCCTAAATGGCTTGTTTTTTGCTCTGAGACTATGTTGCTGATTCTTGAATCTACAGCTGGGGAATGTTCTTTCTTCTTCTACTCTATCAATCACTTTAAAAATTTGGTAAGTTTCTGTGAGACTGCCTTTATTCTTGTAAACTTCAGAGAACAGAGACCCAGTTTCCTCAATTGCTCCTCATAAAGCAGATCCATTATCCACTGAATGAGTCTGCAAAATTTCCACTGTATTTCACATTTTATCTCATCAGTGTTCTACACAACTGAAGCCAGACTTCATTGTTGCTAGGCCTAAATCCTCTTTAAATAACGGCGAGCATACCATTTGCTTTTGAATTGCATGCTACACTGCAATATAGCATTCTGTGACTTCTGAACAAAGATACCAAGGATATTTTTGTGCAGTTTCCAATCTCTCACCATTTAAGAAATAGCCTGCACCTTTGTTAGACCATAAGACATAAGAGCAAAAGTAAGCCACTTGACCCATTGATTCTGCTCTGCCATTTAATGAGATCATGTCTGATCTGATGGTCCTCAACTCCACTTTTCTGTCTTTACCCCATAATCCTTAATTGCCTTACTGCTTAAAACTCTGTCTGTCTAACTCAGCTTTGAAAAACTGAACAATCCAGCCTCTGCAGCTCTCTGCGTGGAGAATTCCACAGATTGTCTACCCTCTGAGAGAAGAAATTTCTCCTACTCTCTGCTTTAAATGGGCAACCCCTTATTCTGAGATTATGCCCTCTGGTCCTGTGATGTCTCTTAAAGGGAAACAGCCTTTCTGCATCTACTTTGTCAATCTCCCTAAGAATCTTATGTTTTTATAAGATCATCTCTTATTCCACTAAACTCCATAATGAGTACAGGCCCAATCTACTCAACCTCTCTTCATAAGACAATTCCTCCATGTCCAAAAAACAAACTTGTTAACCTTCTCTGGGCCACCTCCAATGCTAGTTCACCTTTCCTTAGATAAGGGGACCAAAATTGTTCACATTATTCAGGTGAGCTTCAACAGTGCCTTGTACAGTTTTGGCAAGATTTCATTTTTTTTTTACTCCTTTTCCTTTAAAATAAAGACCAATCTGCCACTTGCCTTCCCTATCACCTGCTGAACTTTTATGCTAGCATTTTTGTGATTTATGCACAATGACGCCCAAATCACTTTGTACTTAGTGTTCTGCAGCCTTTTTCTCTATTTAAATAATATTCAGTCCTCTAATCTTTCATATAAAGTTCATAAACTTACATTTTCCCATATTATATGTGGTCAAATTTTCAACAATTCATTCAATCTGCCAACCTCTGTAGACTCTCTAATCTTTACCACTTGCCTCCCCCCTATTTTTGTGAGTCAAAGACATGGCTACAGTGCATTCACTTCCTTCATCCAAATCATTGCTATATATATTGTAAATAACGGATGTTGGGAGTAGAACAGAAAAGGAGGTTTGCATTACGGTGGAGAGCAGGAGATTACTTGAGAGAAGAATTGATGGGAATAGCCACAGGAAGTGATAATAGCACAAATAAAGAAACAAAACATAGGTCCAGAGGAGGTGTGGATAGCAGAGTGATGAACAGCTGGTGTGCAAATGCAAAAACAAGAAAAATATAAGACTGTACTACTAAAGAGGGAAAAGGTGTTATGATCCAAAATGATTGAACTCTGTTGAATTCAGAAGTTTGCAGAGTACCAAATCTTAAGATGAGGTGCTGTTCCTCGAGCACATGTTGATCTTCTTTTTGAAAAGAGCAGCCAGCCGAGGACAGAAAACACAGATTGAGGGCAAAAATGGAGATTCAAAATGACAGTTGGTGGGAAATTCTGTTATGCCTGCAAACAGAATAGAAGTGTTGGGCAAACCAGTCTCTCCAGTCTTTGTCTACATATAGAGGAGATCACGTTGTGAACAGTAAACACAATACACAGTGGCTCAGTGGTTGCCTCTGCTGCCTCACAGCACCAAGGATCTGGGTGCAATTTCACCCTCAGGTGACCGACTGTGTGGAGTTTGCACATTCTCCCCATGTCTGCATGGGTTTCCTCTGGGTGCTCCAGTTTCCTCCCAGTGTCCAAACATGTGCAGGTTAGGTGGATTGGCCGTGCTAAATTGCCCATAGTGTCCAGTGTGTGCAGGCTAGGTGAATTAGCCATGGGAAATGCAGGATCACGGGGACAGGGTAGGGGTGGGTCTGGGTGGGTCGGTGTGGACTTGATGGGCCAAATAGCCTGTTTCCACACTGAAGGTATTCTATGAAAGAAATATGTAAATTGCTATTTAATTTGGAAGGAATGTTTCAGTACGGAAAACAATCATGATAGTTTGGGTGTTGAACTGGGGTTGGCAAGTTTTAATTTTACAAGAAGCCCAGATGATTGGTCACAAATCAAATTGATCATCTGTAATGGGAAATTGCAGCAACAGGTAGCGAAGGTGATGGAGAGCACTGAGCAAGGGAGCTAAGCAGCTCACCAGTGGTCTTAGCGAGGGAGGATAGCTGGAGCTGTTGAATGCACTTTCGCTGGAAAAAAGCTTATCTTTGGTGGAAACGGTGTTAATCGGAATGTGGGGCAGACAGACAAAAGAATTCCTCAGCCAATTGTGACCTACAAGCTTACTCCATATGGTAAATAGTTCGTGCTTTGTCCCTCGTTTTCCTTGTTATTTGCAATTATGGCTTCATGATCTTTGGGCCTGTTGTATGTTCAAATCTTATGTGGTACATCAAACAGACACAATATCCAAGCTGACAAGGTGCAGAGCTGGATGAACACAGCAGGCCAAGCAGCATCATATGAGCAAAAAGGCTGACGTTTCGGGCCTAGACCCTTCATCAGAAATTT